TGGGTCCAGTGTCGCGCGCTGGGTCCAGCGTCGCGCGCTGGGGCCAGCGCGCGTCTTCATAAATTTACTCAATTGAAAGTTTGACATCCCAAACAATCAATCAGAAAATAAATATTTGAAGAACTTGTGAATAAAAATATATTCGAGTAAATAAAATTCTTACATTTAGAACTAGGAAAAATTATCTTATGTGAAATCTAAAAGTGACAATATACCTCAGGGTGATATTGTTGTAAAAGACTACTTATAAAATAATGCCTACCAATATATAGTATCATGCAACAATCACATAAAAAGAGCTTGACTAGATTTATATAAAAGTTGACAATAAAATATATTGATATGAGGAAGAAATATGATAAAAGAAAATTTATTTACTCGAATGTATAAAACTTACAAACTATTAGAGAATCAAAACCCAAAGAAGCTCACTACACATATAGCATTATCTCTAGCCTCACCCAAGAACTCTAGCCTAGCTTGCACATAATTCTCACAAAATTCTAAAGAGAAAATATGAGAACAAAAGCAAGACAAAAATGAGAGAAAAAGTATCTACACTTAGGCTAAAATTGAACAATCTAATCACCTTGACAATGACCCTATTTATAGAGTTTTTGGGTCATGCCACAAGTAACAATCAGCAACAAAAACAATAAAGAAAATAAAACAAAAAATGTTTTCCTATTTAATTGAAATTTACAAGGCTTTATTTGGTGAGTAAAAGCTGATTATGGTGGGAAGAAAAACCATCACAAACGGATACAAACTGATGAATAATCCCAAGTATTGTGCATGAACGGCTCGAGAAAGGGGATGAAAATGCCATGTGGCACACTTTGATTCGTCCAGGACTGACGCTTAGAAAACGCGGGATAAAAACTGCTTCGGACGTGACACGTGGCGCACGCTGAGTGGCTGCGAGGAAGAATAGACGACAACTGGGTCCCATAGAAACACGTGACGAGAGGTAGTTGGAAAGCTGCTGCACAACTGGGCCCCACGCGGAGAAGAAAGGGCCTGGCTTACACATGTGGGAGGTGAACTCGCGACTTGGGTCTGGCGTGAAGGAAACGCTCATGTGGGTGAGAGGAGAAAGCAGAGGACACGGCAGAAGACGCCACATGGCACGGCTGGTGGAGTGGCTCGAATGGCTGGGCTCGGCTGCGGCTGACTGACGGCTAGGCTTGCTGATGGGCTTCAGATAGGCTTATCTTTCTCTTTATAGTTTTGGTCCAAATGTCTTATTTGCCTACAAAACAAAATAAATTAAATTAAAATTAAATACTTCTACATAAAATTAATTTCACAAAAATATTTAATTAAAACTTAATTTATTTAACAATTATGAACAATTTAAGTGTATTTTCATTCACTTATCATGCACTTTCTCACAAACAGAAGTTTCAACCTTTTTTGTTAAAGACAGTACGCAACTTGTGTTATGACTGCTTGGCAAGTGGTGAAACTTTAAGGAGGAGATAGCGACACATTTTAGGCTTTTTGTGATTAAAATTTTTTGGGCTTATTCGGACCGCAGCCTCCTCCTTTCCTAATCGTTGGAGAATCTTGTGCCAAGTAAAGAAGAGAAAACTCATTGGAATTCCTTAATTAATATTATCTTCACACAATACATATCTCCACAATATTGACACAAAGTATTCTACCATAAAGCAAAAAGAATCACAATTTCAGAATGTAAGCCATTACAACTTCAAGCAAGTTCATTTGCACATTCTTCATGGAGCTCAAACTACCCTCTTTCTGGATCCTTTTCACCTCCTTCGTCTTCCTGTTTATGGTGTTGAACATACTTATCAAAAGAGCCAAAACCACCAGCTCAGATTCAAAACTACCGCCAGGACCATGGAAACTACCGTTACTAGGAAATATCCACCAGCTTTTCGGCTCTTTACCACATCGCGCGCTTAGAGACTTGGCCGAGAAACACGGACCCTTTATTTACCTAAGACTTGGACAACTTCCAACCCTAGTAGTTTCATCAACAGAGTATGCCAAGGAAGTGATGAGAACCCATGATGTCATCTTTGCATCTAGGCCCCGGAGTCTATTCTCTGAGATCGTGTTGTATGATTGTACAGACATTGCCTTTGCTCCATATGGTGAGTATTGGAGACAGCTGCGGAAAATTTGTATGCAGGAGCTCTTGAGCACAACAAGAGTTGAATCATTCAGACCCATTAGAGCAGAAGAGATGTTTAATCTCATGGAATGGATTGCTACAAATGTCGGGTCAGCTATAAACCTCACTGAGAGGATCAAATACTCGACATATAGTATAACATCGCGGGCGGCCTTCGGCAAGAAAAGCGAGCACCATGACGAGTTCATATCGATTGTTGAGGAAGCTATAAACGTAGCAGGAGGTTTTGATATTGCGGAGTTGTTTCCTTCTCTTAGTTTTCTTGCCACGATCACTCGTGCAAGGCCTACACTCGAGTCGATTAAACTGAGGGGTGCGAGGATAATGGAAAACATAATAGACGAACACGATGACAAGAAGTCAACAACCAAAAGCAGTGAAAGTCAAACATCTCAAGAAGATCTGGTTGATGTTCTTCTGAAATTTCATAACAATGGTGAAATCGGGTTCTCCCTAACAACTAACAATATCAAAGCGGTTATTTGGGTAAGCACATTCAATTTTAGTTTTCAGCATTCTATCCACATAACTAAAAGATAAACACATGTTTACACGCCTATACCTTCAATTAACACTAGTCGTTCCAAAGATATGACTTCTTTAAGCCTTCCATTTAGAGTAGTGCATTGTTGACCAAGAAAAATTATTATTTTTTTCACCTGATTTTTTGGTTCAATTGCATGCAATAGGGAATTATATTGAATTTCAATGGCATAACACTACTCTTTAACTTTCAGGATGTCTTTACTGCTGGAAGTGAGACATCTGCTACAGCTGTAGATTGGGCAATGGTAGAAATGATAAAGAATCCAAAAGTGATGGAAAAAGCTCAAAATGAGGTGAGACAAGTCTTTAGTAGAAAAGGGTCTGTCGATGAAACCGTGCTTAGTGAGATGAAATATTTGAAATGTATTGTTAAGGAGACATTGAGGTTACACCCTTCTGCTCCTTTATTACTTCCAAGAGAATGTAGAGAGAAGTGTGAGATTAATGGCTATGAGATACCAGCTAAAACCCAGGTCATAGTTAATGCATGGGCAATAGGAAGAGATCCTAAATATTGGACCGAACCTGAGAGTTTTATACCAGAAAGGTTTCTTGATAGCTCTATTGATTATAGAGGAACAAATTTTGAGTATATACCATTTGGGGCTGGAAGGAGAATATGTCCCGGCATGTCGTTCGGTTTGATCAATGTTGAGCTTCCCCTTGCAATGTTGCTTTACCATTTTGATTGGAGACTTCCCAATGGAATGAAACATGAAGACTTGAACATGACGGAGTCGTTTAGTATCACAGTTAAAAGAAATGATGATTTGTATTTGATTCCCATTGCCTACGATCTGTCACAGTTAAAAGAAATGATGATTTGTACTTGAAAAATCTCTAGGAGCACAAAGTAACTTGTAATTTATTATTCATACACTAGTAATTAAGTTGTTTTCTGTTCCATTACTACATGCTGCGTGAAAATGTTATTTGCTTTTAGATCCATAAAATGGCATGCATGATATCTACGAGCATCACTTCAAATAGAGTTTCATCTATTGTTTATCACCATTTTGCTCTTTAATCAGAGACCATACTTTAGAAATCTTGGCAAACTTCGTTAATGTGAGAGGAACATTATCACGAACAATGGTTCCGATTTCCGCCTTAAACAAAGGAGCATTGGGGCCTATACAGCCCTTAAGACCTCTTTGCTACATTCAACGGTAAGCAGCTTAAACTTGTTCATAGCCAATTTGCGAGGACATACTTATGTATGTTGATGTCGCCAAAGTATTCCATTTTCCATTAAAAAGATACTTATGTATTAGTTTAAACTTGTTCATACAAAATAATCAAATTACAAGGACTCAATTGTTGTTATTTCACCATCTGCATATTCGATCCAAATGTTACTTACAATTTATTGTGTACACACGTGACAAATAAAAGGCAATCCAAGTTTTGATGTTAAACTTAAATTTGTCATTTACCATTTTTGTTGTCTACAGCGTTGTACTTTTTTTTCCCCCGCTTCCGTAGGAAACAGAATCCAAATATTAACAGTACCACAATACAAACAACAATTGGGACAACAATGGCCACAATTGTTCCCGTCGATATTTTACTTTTTCGTGCAACAACAAAAATATCAAATTAGTTATAATCTTGAACGAACAGGTCATCTATCTAAACAAGATAACATGAATTGTGAAGGAAAAAAATAGGGAATCTTTATTATGGAGCATGCTATTTTGCTCTACTATTAGAAACAATTGTTTTAACTGTTGGATTAATTTTTTAACAGTAAGATTTGTACAGATTAGTATTAAAAATTTACAGCGCGCTACACAGAACTACTACTTCATATCTTACTATTAAAAAATTAATCGAACGGTGAGAACACAATTCCCTTGAATGAAGCAAGACTCCCAAAAAAATAAAGGTATTTCATAGCCAAAAAGGAGGGAAAGCCAGTCCCATATTGCAAGAAATTGTAGGGCCTTAGAAAAATTTAATTGGATGAGCCAATTGAAGACCGGAAAATGACATGAGCACGAAAAAGTCTACGTAAAGGTCTAGACACACAAGCAGACATTGGCAACAATTTCCTCGATTTTCAAAGCAAGGTAAGAACATGATTCCTAATTTGAAAACTCTAAGCTGAGATTTTTTTTCTCCCCTCCTGGCTGATGTTAGACACAGAGAAATCCCAGAACACAATTAGAAATTGGAAACGGGCCCCAGTGTTCGCATAGAGAAGAAACATTAACGGCGCCTTTAACAGATTGTAAATGAATGTAATGAAAAAGAATGAAATTGAAAACAAAGTAAAATAATAATACTGTAGACCATTAAGGCCCCATTCACTTTGCCGATTTGAGTTTAGAATTTGAGTTTTGCTACAGTAAAAAGTTCTCAGAAACAGTCACATCTAACTTTTTTGCTACAGTAAAAAGCTCTCACATAAAATCATATCTCAACTCGAATTACAAACTCAAATTAACGAAGTGAACATGCCTTAATTCTCTTTAGTATTTTGTTCACTAAAAAAAAAAAAAAATCATTCATATTATTCCATCTCTATCCCTTTATTATTTTAAAAATCCATGACAAGGGTTTTAAAGTGTGGCTATGGATAAAGTTATAAGTTTGAATCGGGCTAACCGGGCCACGGCCTGAGCCCGTCACTGTTGGCCTGACCCGCCCCAGCCTTAACTCTTTGGCTGGATTGGACCGACACTACGCCTTAAAATATTTTAGAGCCGGGCCAAGCCGGCCTCAAGTGCTTCGATTTTATTTTATTTTCACTTTTCTTTTTTGTAAAAGTCCCGGGCCAACCCTAGAACTATCAAGCTTTAGGACCGAAATAGACCGATCTTTTTATTTTTAGGACCAAGTCGCCCGACCCGATATTACTTTCAGCGTTAGCTTTGGAGTATCAAATCCTACATAGCTTCTCAAAGGAGAAGAAAAAAGGGATCCTTCTTACTACACTGACACGTTGATGGTCTCTTTTTAGTGTTTACTTTTCTAGTGTTTTGCTGCTTAAAAAAAGAAAACTTTATTACTAGTTATTACAATATCCTTCTATGTAATTAAATCATCATGGAATTAAAAGTAAATACAGGATTAAATTAACTTACATGCTATATAGAGACAAACTAATAGTTATAGACGTTCCATTTCCAAGCAGCAGGCACCAATAATTATCTACTTAAAAATAAAAATAAAAATTATTTTTTCGGCAACAATTATTTATTGTATATTATATAGTTTTTTAAAATAAAAAAAACTATTTTTCTTTTTTAAAAGAAATGGAAAGAAATTACCGGAACGTGTAATGGAACTTGGTGGTGGCGGCGAAGCTGGAGGGGACGCCGCTGGGGGCAGCGACGATGTATTTTGGCTGTAAAAAGGGTTGACTTCGTACCTAATGTTACAACTGGGAAACAGAACTCTTCCCCCTAACTTCCCATCGCAGCACTTGGGAAGTCTTCCTATGGCTTCCGTTAGACATGTACCACAGGCCTCACCAGACAGGTCCGGCGTGTACTGCACCAGGTTGTACAGAGTCTGGAACCCGTTGACATCTGCATCTTTCGTTGCGAACTTCTTTTCCCCGGACCCGCCTCTCGCAGCCTCCGCAGCCGCCTCTTTCATGGTGTTGTTCAGCACCCGGGTAAACCGGTCTTTATCAGTGACGTTCGCCGTGTTCAAAAGATATATGCCGGGCCTTGTAGCCACTTGGCCGAAGAAAGAGGTGTTGGAGTAGCGCAGCTGGCATGCATCGTACCATGACATCGCCAACTCCTCCGTAGGACACCGTTTGACGACGTCTTTGACAGCGAACTTAACGCAGTCTCGGCAGAAGGTAGTGTTGAGATCACCGCGGCAGAGGAAGAGGCCGTAGACGACGTTGCCAGCGAAGGCATTGAAGAATTCGCGGGTCGCATTGGAAGCGAGGGAAGAGAGAAGGCTGTTGAGATTGGATCGGTAGATGATGTTTGCGGTGGAATTAATGGTCGTGTTTGTACAGAAATGGTAGGGGTAAGTCGGGTCAATGGCTCCAACATTAATTAGGCAGACCGAAAAAAGCAAAGAGAGAAACATAGAGTTTCTGTTGCAAGCGTTAATGAAACCATTTTGTTGTTGGTTGGGGAAATCATACTGTTGACGGTGAAAATTAGTCAACTCAGAATTTTACCCTTCCGGGAACACTCGTGTATCTTCTCTCATGAGTTAATCAAGAAAAATCATCACAAGAAAGCAAAGAACACAAATTTATAGTGGTTCGACAGAAAACTCCTTGCCTACGTCCACTTGTGGATGCACTAGCAATCTCAGAATTACAATCTCTTTGGAGTAGTAAAGTAGTCCGTATCCTGCTTAATGAATCCAGATGGCTCAATTTATAGGCATTTTACATATGAGAGACATCCTCTACATTTTTCGAGGAGATCATCCCCTTTCCCTAAATTATGGGATTTGGCAATTGTATTTCGATGATTTCAGCTTCTAGGTCAGGTCAACCACCCTTACCCGTTACCTGATTTCCTGATCTAAATCTTGGCAGTTGGTATAGTGTATCTTTTCTTGAGTTGACGGGATGTTATCTTAATTTGATCTCCCGGTCTTATCTAATTCTTGACTCCTCGACGCAGAGGCTTCAAAGGACTTTGTGGACTTCTCGACTTCAACGATGCAAAGGCCTCAAGAGGACCTTAAGCCCTTCTCAACTTCAACACCTTGGCTCTATGAGTGCTCCTTAACCTAGAGACATCTCTTTAACTGTTAGTTCTCGACGTCAGGGATTTGTGCTGACTTTTAGAGCTATGACGACCCTAACTTTTGGTCATCATCTTATGCTCATACTTACCATTTC